GTTGTGGAGATATACCTTTTTCTAAGTCGAATGATGGCTATATTCCATTTTTAAAATATATAATGTTATTTAATTATTTAATACCAAATGTTTCCTATTTTTTCCGTCCCCTATTTCGTCTAATCTAATTTACATAATTTGTGTAACTAAGATATTATCTTTTTCGATTAATGCTTACGTCTCCAGTGGATGGCGCATGGTCCTCGTGGAGCGAGTGGTCAATCTGCTCGGGTGGCTGTCACCAACCAGGCACTGGGTCAAGCCCTGGACCCCATTCGGCGCCCATATTCGGCTCTCGAATTAGGACTCGAGTCTGCGACAATCCAAGACCTCAGTTTGGGGGGCGTAACTGCTTTGGCCCATCTAAAGAAACACTAGCCTGCAGGCAGTCAGAAGCGACATCTTTGTGCCCCAGTAAGATTAGCCTGCATAAATATGACTTATTTTTAGTAAGGTTATATTTCGAAACTACAAATAATTCTTGAATTCGATGCTTACCATCTGACCTGAAGCCAACCCTGACTAATAAAACGTTTTGTAATTTAAGGCTAAGCGAAATTCAATTACTTATAAAATTCGACTATTGGCCCTTAGATGACCGGAAATAATCTAAGGTGACTAAGTGCATGGGCATTGGTATTATTTATTACCAAATTTGTTTGATCACGTTTGATCGATCCGGCAAAATATAGCTACATCGGAGATGCCCACCTAAGCATGAGTATGACGCTTTGTAACCTTTAATTGTCTAACAAGCTGAGTATATATTCATATTCTAGCATGTACAGTTACCTATCTCTCTCTCTCACTCTAATGCACATATATTTGTATTGTCTTTTCTATGTTATGAAGAAAAAGTAGGTTTCGAAAACTTGCTTAGTTCCCATTTCGAAAACAAAGTTGGTTGGAAGGAATTCTTGATGTGATCTCACCGAAAACTGAAGGAGGATTGCCGCGTAGGGAAGACTCTTGTATTGTGCTAAGAAGTCTTCGGCTCACCGCCCTGCAACCTTGACAAACCTGTGCTAGGCTTTCTTCTGTACTACGACAGGCATCAGCAGAGCAAGAATCCATACTTTAGGAAATAGAGTAAAATATA